CCCGCCGGCGGCAGCGCCAACTCCGCTCGCACCTGCGGCTCAAACTTTTGTGAGGCGGCTCCCGGAGCGGCGGGAACCCGGCCGGAGCCGTCCCCCCTCCAGCCCAGCTCGGCCCTCGGCTTCCTGGGGCCCCCAGTGGGCGCCAGGAGGCTCCACGGGAGCCGGGTGAGGACCAGGGGTGGGGGAAGCGGTGGAGAGCGTGCAGCCTGCTTGGCGCGGGGGCGGCCGGGCCGAGCCGGGGTCACTGGGGGCAAAGGACGCGGGAAGGGGGGAAGGGCGCGGGGCGCGGGCTGGTCCGAAGGCGGGTGTGTGGTTACAGAAGGGCTGCGCGAATACTTCGGCCAGTTCGGGGAGGTGAAGGAGTGTCTGGTGATGCGGGACCCCCTGACCAAAAGATCCAGGTGAGCCCCTCACCCCCTCCTCCTGCTCCCGGCTCGCCCCCCTCCGCCGCCACTCACTGCCTTGTAACCATCTGCCTCTCCCTCACTACCGCGCGCAGGGGTTTCGGCTTCGTCACTTTCATGGACCAGGCGGGGGTGGATAAAGTACTGGCGCAATCGCGGCACGAGCTCGACTCCAAAACAGTGAGTGGCCCTCGGGGCTTCGGGGGTCCTTTGGGAGAGGGAGGTCGCTGGAGGAGAGGGTCAAGCCTCTCCCCAGGGGACAGCTGGATGGGGTCCTGAAGGAAGGAGGGAGTTTTCTGAGTAGAAGGGCTGCCACACTCTAAAACTTTGTCACTAGAGTTGAGGGGAGACGGAGCAGGAAAATCCCAGGCCAGCTAGGAGATGTTACACCCCCCAACTCCTCCGGTACCGGTGAGGGAAGACGCAGCTACCATCCCCTTCTTGTACATACTAATCTTGATGCCTCAGAGAGGAGTTTGGGGTGGGGCTAGGTCCCTCCCCTAGCCCAAATTGGGTGAGTCAGGGCTGCAGTGACCCACCCGTGGCTTCTCTGAACTCTAACTAGTATTTGGCTCCCCCCACCCCATTCCAGACCAATGGCAAAGCATCACTGAATCCCCCTCCCTTCTTCCTTCCCTCCCTCCTCCCCTGACTTTTGGTCAATGAGCTCCTTGCTTTGTGTGGAAGACATGAACCTGCTTTACCCATGAAGGGATTTATGAGAAGGGAGCTAGCTTGCCTGGAGACAGCCCTTTCCAGCTAGATCTGAGGAGAAGCTGCTTGTTGGGCATTGAAACTCCGGGAACATTTTGCTGCTGTCTCACTGCTCCCCCAGTGTCTTGGGCCCTGCAGGGGGCGCTGGCACAGGCCCCAGCTCAAGGGGAGAGGGGAGAGGAGAAAGCAAAGGAGGGGTTCCTCTGTGGTGGGGTGACTGTCTGCCAGGGGGCCGGGACAGTGCGATCTCTCACCACACTCCCTGCTCTCCTGCAGCCCTGGGCCTCCCTGCTTGGGTCAGTCATTGGCTCCTGTTTACCTGCAACAATAGCTGGTTGTGCCCAAGAATTTGTTAAATTACCTCCTGTCCCCGGCTCCTGTTATCTCTGCCCAGTGGCTCCCACTCCTGCTCGCAGTAATGAGCAAATGAGGCCAGGCCTCAACTTTGCCGGCTCTGAAAGGATCTTCTTGGCGCAGACTGAGTGACCCAAGCTGGGAATGGAGAGACAGTGGCCTATTGTTTTTGGTGATTATCTGCCATCAAGCTGCCTGTTCTCCTACCATCCCCTGTCCTCAGAATGCACTGATGGCTTCTGCAGCGCTCAGGAAGCAGAGATTTTGGGGCTGGGGCTGGAGCTGAGGGCGGGGGCATGGAAGATGGATAAGGGGAAGAGAGAGGGGAGGAAGGAGGATAAGATGGGCATCCTTCTGAGATTCGGGACTTGAAAAGGGCAAGGGCTTTGTGTTTGGCATTCTCCAGCCTGGGAAGGGAGGTTTATTGTGGGGAGTTTATTTTGGGTTCTGACTTTCACCTTTTATTTACTTGTTGGGTTTTATATTGCCAGCTGTGAGTCAGAGTGGAGGTAAGGTGTGTCAGGGATTGGGTGTGAGTGGCTCTGCAGGACATAGCTTGGGTACCATCTCCCCATCAGTGTCTGCACATGGGGACTGTCCGAGGTGTGCTCTGGCAGCCTCCAGGAGAAATAGAAGGACGAACATGGCCATCGAGGTACAAAATCATACCTTCGGACAGGAGAATGGTCAGCTGTGATTATCCCTGGAGCCCCTTCGCATTTGGGGAGAGAGGAGGCATTGCCCAGTGTGGATTTTGGAGGTGCCTTCTCTGTGGGTAGATTCCAGAGGGGGAACCAGGGAGGCTGGCCCTGGTTTGTGCCATTCGGGCAGGGAGGGTCCACAACCCGTTGCCTAGAGCTAGGCTGAGTTTTGAACTGAAGGAGCTCTGGGGAAAGATAGATCTTCCCTGCGATTGGCTGGTGAACTTCTGAGTGGTTTCCACCCATGTGAGTGGCAAGAAACTCTGAAATGACCGGGCCTCATAGGTCGTGCATTGATCACAGTGTCTCGTGCTCTGGCTTTTGCTGTTTGTCAGTACGAATATAGTACCCAGGAGTACCCAGGTGCATCTTGCTTTTCCCCTTTGGTTGTTCACAGCCAAGGGCAAAGGTGGCCTGCTGGTAATAGCACCTTTGTTTGTGCAATGAAGGGCAGTTCACAAAGGAATGCTTTCACCTGCATTATCTCATTTGATTCCTTGCAGCTCCCTCTGGGAAAAGTGGGTGCTATTGTCCCCACTTTGCAGATGGGGGAACTGAGGCTCAGAGGGATCAAGCAAGTTATCAAGATCACAGGCTTGGCCAGGGGCCCAACGTTTCTGAGTTCAAATCCCATGTTCTTGTGTGTCACCAAACCTGTGCTCTGCTTCACCCCAAGCCGAGCTTGTATTATCAGGGAACTGTTTGTTTGCGGCCTCAAGAAGGGCTGTTAGATGTCGATGGTACTGGGAAAACAGAACTGAGTCTACCCTTGGTGGTTTATGAACTCTTATCTTGAAGCCTTTTTCAGGCAAAGAGTGTTTCCATTCACAAGGCTTCCGAAGTCTGGATCGCATACCTCACCTGGACAGGTATCTGTCAGGCAGGAAGGCCCTCGATATACCTGGTGCTGGAAGGAATAACACTTTGTTTACTTTTTTCTGGTTCTTGCTGAGGGCTAGACAACAAGTGCTTTGTAAGCATTACCTCAAATAATCTGCAGACAGCCCTTTGAGGTGGATGTTAGTACTGGCCCATTTTGCTGGTGAGCTCGAGCCTGAGGCTCAGAGAGGTTAAGTAATTTGTGCAGGCTCTCACAGCTGGGAAGCAGTGTAAGTGGGATTTGAACCCAACAGCCTGGCTCTAGGGCCTAAATGCCTAACTTACATTTTCCTGCCAGAGGCTGTGGTGGTTTCTGTCACCTCTGTGTCCTGGGATGAGAGAGGTCCTCACATCTTCAGGCTGAGTGATAACCAACGCCCCTCTACCTCTCTCTTCCCTTTCAGATTGATCCCAAGGTGGCCTTTCCTCGGCGAGCACAGCCTAAGGTAGGTATGTGTGTGTCTGGGAGCAGCTCTGTACAACCGGCAGTGATTTTCCCAGCATTCCCTTCTATGGAAGAGGCTTCTGGTTAGAGTGTTAATGGCACGGACTGGGATGGGAGGAGGGAGGACTCTTCACGTCCTTGTTCTGTGAATGGCAGACACCATGCATTTTTCCATCTGTGCTCTGGGTGGACTAGAGAGAGGGGGCTGCATATATTGAGAGAAGAAGGAACGTCTCAGGTGATTCATTGCCCTGTATTTGAAGCCAGTACACTTTGGACCCTGAGTCTAATTCTGACTCTGGAGATCATAGCCTCTGTGCCCAGCACCTCTGGGGGGTCAAACACAGCCCAGACGTACCCTCTGAGGCTGAGCTAAAGTCAGGCCAGGGAGCTACCTCTGATCTCCCAATTACCCCCCCCCCCCCCCCCCCCCCCGGGGGGGGGGGGGTGGGGGGGCGGCGGGACGGTGGGAGGGGCGGGGGCGGCCGGGGGCCCCCGGCGGCGGGGGAGGTCCCCCGCGGGGGCCCGGGCACCCGGGGGGCCGGCGGCGGCGGCGACTCTGGACGCGAGCCGGGCCCTTCCCGTGGATCGCCCCAGCTGCGGCGGGCGTCGCGGCCGCCCCCGGGGAGCCCGGCGGGCGCCGGCGCGCCCCCGCCGCGCGCGCGGGGCCGGCGTGTGCCGGCCGTCGGCGGCGGCGCGCGGGCGCCGGGGGGTCCCGTCCCCCCGGCCGCCCGTCCGCGCCCCCGCCGGCGCGCCGCGCCCCCCCTCCCCCTCGCGGCCCGCCGCGGCGGGCG